CTGAGACCTGGAACTCACTATGTAGCCCAGGCTGGCCTCGAACTCACAGCAATCCTCCTGCCTCAGCCTCCTGAGTGCTGAGATGATAGGGGTGCGCCACCACACCCGGCTCTAATATCTTTTTTAAAGGACATCAAGGGAAAAAATGATCAGCCAAGATAGCTAAAGGTATATGTGACAGTTGGTACAAATCTGCAAAATTAAATCCATAAAACAACTATGTAGCCCAGGCTGGCCTCGAACTCACAGCAATCCTCCTGCCTCAGCCTCCTGAGTGCTGAGATGATAGGGGTGCGCCACCACACCCGGCTCTAATATCTTTTTTAAAGGACATCAAGGGAAAAAATGATCAGCCAAGATAGCTAAAGGTATATGTGACAGTTGGTACAAATCTGCAAAATTAAATCCATAAAACAAGATTTGTGAAATGCAAAACAAGACTACTTATTGCCTTTTAATATGCAGACTCAAATTTATTGAACCTTAAAATGTCATTATCAATAAACATTCATCTATAATGAACTACATGAAAAAGGATGACTGTAGTCTGATAAATATACATACTTAAAAAATATATAAATACTGGTGATACATACATAAAGGTTAAAAGATGTCGAGTTTTCAGTAATCTTTTTCCAGGGCCAGGGATTTTGCTCAGTGGCACTGTGCCTGCCTAACAAGCGAAAGGTACTGAGTTTGATCCCTGGTACTAAAAAAAAAAAGGTTGAATAATCTTTTTCTAAACAGAGACAGAAAAACAAACTTTAGCACTTGAAAGGACTACAATGTAGAAATTAAAAATGAAAAACGGAGAGCTGGGGATTTAGCTCAGTGGACACCCATGCAGGCCTCACAAGTACAAGGTGCTAAGTTTGATGATCTCTGGTGAAAGAAAAGACAAAAGAAAAATGGAGAGCCTGACTGCCTGTATCCAAGCTTAGCTCTAGCACTTATTATGTTACCTCAAGTAAGTCATTTAATTTCTCTTCATCTGTTTTGTCATCTATGATATGGGAAAACAGCACTTAGACCATTAGATGTGGTAATTAAATGAATTAATACACATAAAAATCAATAGTTGGGCTTCATGATTCACCCTTATATCCCCACTATTCCAGAAGCTGAAGCAGGAGGATAACAAGTTTGAGGCCAGCCTAGGTAGGCAATTTAAGGAGATTTTGTCTCAAAATAAAGTTTAGAGCTAGGCATGGTGGGACAAGCTTGTA